ATACATAAATACACATGCATACCTACATGCGTATATATAAGTACACATGTCTTATAGATACGTATTCTTCCAGTGCTTCAGTTAGCTTGAACATGTTTGTCCTCTTCATGCTGATGTTGCATTTTCGATTTGACAGAGCTGCAGATGCTGGCATGTGTGTCTATATGACCGGGTAATGGGCTTTTGTTAAGGCACCTTGAAAACTGTGTGTTTCCAAAAGAGATGAAAGAGATGAAAATTACATCACCTTGCTAGGGGCATGCAAGGACTTCTGTGAAATCTCCAAATGTCCAAATGGTTTCCACTCTTGTAATCATCCACAGTTGACAAAGCAGAACTCATCCAGATTCCCTACTAATTCTGTAGAAGAAAAAGAGGAGGAGTTGCTAGTGAGTCAGCTGCCTTCGTTAGCAAACATAAACATAATTAGCTTTTCAAGCCCCCAAAATTAGAAGGACTTGGAAGTTAATCTCTTCTGTGTTTATTTATTAGTACTATTTCCTCATCTTTCTATGGGTTATGTTACAAAGCATTTGAAAAGAGCAGTTCTCTCTCCCTATAACGTTGACCAAGAAAGGATTCACCGAAAATTAAAGCAGACATTTATTTGGGCAATTAGAATTGCAATTCGGGAAACACAGATTCAGGTAGACACCTAAATTGCATTCCAACGAAGACAAAGGCGGGAGGGGCAGAGATATAAAGATGGAAGGATAGGAGTGTAGTTTTCATTTAGGTCCTCTGTGCAAAAGAGGAATTGAAAAATTAACTGGGATTGGTTGTGTATGCAAATGAAGGACCGAAGCTTGTTAAACTGAATTCGCTCCTTTAGAAGTGAAGCACCACAGGTGATCCAGTTGCCATGGTGAGGAGGAAGTTAAGTCCAGGCTGAGGGCTTGCAGCTGGCTTTAAAGCTCAGAAAGTTTGGGCACCTGGGTGGCTCAGTGGGTTAAGTGACTGCCTTTGGCTCAGGTTGTGATCCCAGGGTACTGGGGGATAGAGCCTTTCGTGGGGCTCCCTGCCCAGTGGGGAGTCTGCTTCTCCGTCTCCCTCCTGGTGCTCTGCCTACTTGTGCTCTCACACTCTCTCTGTCAAATAAATAAATAAAATTTTAAGAGAAATTTCATAGTTTCTCTGTTGAGGATGTGCATAAATTCCTCTCCTCTTATGGCCTCCTAACAACCCTTTTTTAAAGGAGACTCTTTTAACTAGGCTTGCTTGCTCCCTTTTGAAATCTTCTTTTACAATGTATATAATCATCCCTCTAAAAAAAAAAAAAAATCAGACATATGTAATCAATGTTGCATAGGACAATAATGACAGGCAGGTAAGATGACTCTTTGTTACAGGAAGAAACTTACATTTACAGATGCACTATTTTCAGTTAAATTGTCAAAGTGTGACTTTTAGAGACTTTCTGTGCTAGAATATCTGTGTATTCTTAATTTTGTCAGGTGACTGTATTTCAGTACTTTTAAGTTACAATAATAATATATGCTCATTATTACAAGTTAACATATGTAAGGAAGTACCAACAAATGGTTAACATTCTTCTTGTTCTCTCTTACATTTTCAACTAGGGTTTTTTATTCTTTTTACAAACTTTTACAAAGTTGAGATCATATTGCATTCATTGCTTCCCCTCCCCCACACTTTTAAAATTTGCTTCATTTTGCAATGTGTCATGGACACATCTCTGTAGGTAGATCTAACTAAACTTAACACATTCTTTGTAGCTGTATAATGTTCCATAATGTAACATAGTTTATTCAACCATTCTTCCCTCACAGACTTTTAGATTATTTCCAATGCTACAGTAAATCTCCTTGCCAGAGAAATCAGAAGAGCCCATTTGAGAATGACCCTGTGGGTTCCAGAGTTCCCGCCACGCAGTGATCTCTAAGTCATGGACACGTTCTGTCAGGAAGATGAGATGACTTTTCACAGCAGACATCTCCCTCTCCCCACAGCCCTGGAGGGCAGGGCTGGGTGAACTGCTGTTTTGTGGAGGAGCCTGGCATCCTCCACAGCCCTGGTGTCAGTGGCAGGCTCTGAAAGGAAGAGCATCCTGGAAAGAGGGAGAGCTTTGAAATGACAAAGTAAAGCTCCGGGGTAAAGCAGGCTCTCATGGCTTGGCCTCCCCGCACATCCAATTCTGTTTCTGATCTTAAAATGGTAGTTAACAAATATAACTTTGACAAACTTTTAGAGAGTTTTGTGATCTTATTTTCTAACACTAATAGACAAAAAAGGAGTCATTTAGAAAGACCATGTCTGAAGTAATAATGTAAAGGTAAGAACAAAAACTTCTAAAATAGCAGCCAATAGCCAAGAAGCCTTGAAGTAAACTTGGAGACCAGAATTTCTTCTTCCGTGTTAACGGTCTACAGGCCACCTTTTGGAAGTTCCCTTTTGATATACAAATTCTAATTCAATACTTCTTTAACATAGACCATCTTACTAAAGAAGTTTCCTCACTTCATTTAATATAAAATATATAGCATTTAAGTATTCTAAATAACATATCTTAATATCTTTATATGTGTTGTTATCTTCAACTTTAAGATTTTAGACTCTGAGGTCGGTAGTCATCAAAGTATTCATAGAACTGGTCCTCGAGTCTTAGCATAGTTAATTTACTTGTGTGACACAGTAAAGTGCTCCATAGAAATAAACATTTGATCATGGCCATGGCTCCTGATGTGCTGTTAACTGGCTGAGGACACACTGGAAGCCTGTAAATGGGGTCTCTTTCCAAACTTGGTGTCAGGCACCTCTCATGAACTACAGAGAAGAGCTCTATAACTGACATTCCTGTATTATAGATAACTAAACATTTAAGCCAGAGAGGAATACCTGTGAAGAGATAGGGAATCTCTCCTTCTCTTTCTCTCCCTCACAAACCCACACACATACATATATACGCATATACATAATTTTCCCTATTTAAAGAGTAATGAAGGACAGAATCAAAAGTAGCTATTGTATGTCTGTCTATATCTATCACAGGGATTTGGAAAGATAATTTTGTGGCAATCCATGTCATCATGCCTTAACAGTGACGTGAAACCGGATTTGCTTGCTTGTGTGCTATAGTAGCAGCTGCGCGACTCCCAGTTAATCATTTAACCTCCCTGAGCCCTGGGCTCCGTATCCATGTAGGGAGGGTTGTTCCTTACTACCTCATAAGATTATTAGGAGGATTAAAATGAGATAATAGATATAAAATGTTCATGTTGAATTGAATAAACCTAGTTTCCCTCTTAGGAAACTTAAGTGGTCTTCCACTATGAAGATGTTTCTTGGTAGGATTAAAGGGATACATAGAATGGCGGTGGGGTAAAGAAAACTTTGCAACGTGAATGATGATACCAATAAACAAACATGGTTTTAGAGTTATGAGGAATTTCAATATGCTTTATCTTATTAGTTCTTCACAAGAATACTGTGGATCAGGCTAATATTTTTACACCCATTACACGGGGAGGAACTGTGACTCAGAGAAATTAAATGAATTAGTATCACCTGCAAGCCTATAATGGAATGAAGTTCTTTTTGACTAACAGTCCAGTGCTCTTTACATTGCTCTATGTTGTCTGTCAATGCCAGACAGTTGGCAAATACTAAACAGAATTCTAATTGGTTCCAAAGTTGTGTCTGAAAATCTAGCTGTGTTCTCAAATTTTCCACGGTTCTTGCAAAAAATGTGCCTATTTGGGGAAGGAGCCTCGCCTACTCCTGGACTCCCGAGGGCCACACTGAGCTCAGCGTGCGTTTCTTGGGTCTGTGGAACCAAAGGAGTTGTAATTCTAATACGAAACGCACTGTATTTTGTGACTATTTCACTTTATTTTTAGCATTTCCTGAATCGAAGTTAAGCAGTTGGAAAGGGCTCCCTTCCAACAGTGGTGAAAAGCTTGGTTTGCTCTGTGTAGGTCAAGACTCAGCTATTTCTGCCCTCAAGCACCATAAGTGATTGTCTCCCTCCCTGGGTTGATACTCAGCATATTCTGTGGCATGACGGTATCTGTCTTCGCATGTATACCTTCTTTCTCCTCTTTGAGAGCACAAGTCCCCTAAAAACAGAGAGTCTAGTGTCCCTTTGTACTCTCAGGGCCCGGCGGAGAGCCTAGGGCTTCACAGGTTCTCCATAGATGCTTGCCCCTGCTGCTGCTGCTTTTGTGATACCACTAGCATTGACTTCTTAGGGAAGATTCATTAGAAAACAACCTATGAACGAGGGTTAGTTTTAGAATAAACAGTGTCTGCTGCCTCCCTGCCTCCCTGTAGCATAAATGATTTCCTAAGACTACTTTCATAGAGACAATTACTAGAAAGATAAAGGATGCTTTGGAAAGCACTAGTAATTACCAGGTCCACTTAAAGGCGAGAAAAGGCGATACAGGTTCTATTCCCCTAAACACGAACATGAGGCTGTTGAAAATTAGCTGTGAGCCTCAAGCAGACCGAAATACACAGCTGTCACTGGGGCACAATGCCTTTGAGATGAAGTTGAATTTCTTATTTCTAAGGAGTAGAAGCCGAGTGTGTTTTGTTGGGGGCCTGCAAATTATAGTGATTTGGTTTCCACCTGAACAAGCACCACAAACAAATCCTGGCAGGCAGGCTCTCTACAGGAGTGGCCGAACAAGTCAGTTTTCATTTCCTTCCAAGCCCTGGTTGGGCCGATCCATCCATGGAAAAATAGAACAAAAGGCAAGAGATCACTGCCCCTAAAGCATCCTAGCGGCTTACGCGGCTCAGGGGTTATTTATAGCGAGCCGGCTCACACTGAGCACGCCCGGGTCTAGGCAGCGGATGTGCGAATGTGCGAACGGAGGCTTCAGGACCGCGACAGTAGACATCGATGCAAGGTGTGAGCAACGACTCTGTTTGCACGCCTGTCGCCGTTTCGGTCTGGCCATGCCTTTCACCACCACTGTGAACGTTTACCTCCCAATAGGCTCATCCTCCTCTTCATGTGCACCTTCTATCTGCAGATGTTGCTATGAGGACAGATTCATCCGAGATGACTGATGTGGAGTCCGTGGTCAACAATTTTGCCTCTTCGGCCAGGACTGGCCGCCGGAATGCCGTGCCGGACATCCAGGGCTCAGCCGGGATGGGCGGGTCCGCAGAGCTGCCCCTCAAACTGGAGGCCCTGTCCATGAAGGAAGGTAATGCACAAGTTCTCTCCTTGCCTCTGGAGCAGTCTCTCTTATAACTGGTTATATAAGTGCTCTTTTTTTCTTACGTGTGGACTAAGATCTCTCAGTTTTTGTTGCAGGCTAAGTGTCATTTTTTAGGCTTTCTGAAAGTGAACAGTTTTATCTTTTTCTCTCCCGATGTGTATGTGCAAGCTGAACATTTATGTATTTGTTGGACATGTCTAGTCACGCATAGTGCTCGAAATCAGGGATAAAATGTGAACAAATATAATCCCTCAATAAACTTAAAAATTCATCGAGAAACGCTCCTATATAAAATAGTTTCCCTCCTATCATCCCCTTAGCCAACCGCACTGGAGGCTTGTGCTTTGCTATAGTATTCTATAAGCTCTTCTCTGTCTCAGATCTAAGAAGTTTATCATCAGTTAAAGATGAGATCTTTAAGGCAAGTATTTGTATAAAAGGTAACCATTCTTCAGTGGAAAAAGTTGAATTAAGGACAAAGGGGAGCTGTCAAACCAATGGAGGAAAACTTGGGTTTGTCTCCCCATTGCTTACATACAGTTCATCTAGCTTCCAGAGTTCAGTCTTCTGGAAATAAACATAAAGATACTTTCAATAGAGTTTTAAAGAAGTCTTTTTAGTCAGAAAACATTCATGGAGGTTAAAGAAAATTTCAGTTCCAAGTCATTACCAAGATACCTGGGCCTTGTGCTCCATTTAGTCCAAGGTGGACTTTAGTATGGGTAAAAATTTATTGCCACTGCCAAGGAGGCAAGAGAGGGTAGCAGCTGCTGCATGCCCCACTCTGTTCATGCAGGTGCCAGAAGAAGGCTCTTGGTCCTCTGCCTCAGGACATTATTTGTTACCTGGTAAAGTTACAGATGTTCCTTGTTTGATCCTAGGAAATGCGGATGTCTTTGTCCAGGGACACCTCATGTGTTCCCAGAGGTCATTGCCTTTCTCATATGAGACCCTACAAGTAAGAGCAAAAAAGTGCCTACGTCCATACAAACTATTACAAGATGAGAAAAGGGAAAGAAAGAAAAAATAAATAAAAAATGTGTGTAATGGTTTTGGCCTTTTAAGTCTGAAAATGGAATGTGGTTATCAGACTGTGATGTTGCTGTTGAAGGGCCATCCTCAACTAGAGAGGCAGAGAAGCTAAGTTACCTGTTCGTACGACAGGCCTAATTTAAGTGTCCATTCCCCGGACACACACACAAAACCTTACTGATTCTTGACATTACCTCATTAAATGAAAGAGAAAAAAAAATATTCTGTGGGAGAGTTAGTAGTCTTCACCATTTTTTTTTTGGCCACTAAAGAGACTGTTCTCTGAAAGAATATTGTTACTATTTTTATATGTTAAAGAACAAAAATTCAACTAAGTAAATTTGAAGACCTAATTGGCTTTATAAAGGGGTTCATGAATCAAGCAGCATTCTATCTAGCAAGCAGAGGGGAGCCCTGAGGAGCTATACAAATGGAAAGAGAGTGGGGCAGAGAAGTTACTAGCAAAAGAAAAGAAAGCATTGTTCCAAGCGAAATCACATGCCCTTAGAGGGAAGGGAAAGGGGATTATTAGGTGGATTACTATGTAGTTATTAGGTGGTTTCCATCAGATCTGTCCTCTTTGGTTTTTGATAAGTATTTTTAGGTGGGAAGAACTGTAGGATCTCAAAGGTCCTGTATCCTGCATGAAATTAACCTACCTAAAATTTGTCTCATTCATAATTTGTCTTTATCTCTTACAAATTAATAACCATGATAGGGAGGACAATGATGCCTGATAACATATCGGCAAGAAGCGACAGAGGGGGGCGCCTGGGTGGCTCAGTGGGTTAAAGACTCTGCCTTCAGCTCAGGTCATGATCCCGGGGTCCTGGGATCGAGCCCCGCATCGGGCTCTCTGCTCAGCGGGGAGCCTGCTTCCCTTCCTCTCTCTCTGCCTGCCTCTCTGCCTACTTGTGATCTTTGTCTGTCAAATAAATAAATAAAAATCTTAAAAAAAAAGTGACAGAGGGTGACAGCTGTAAATGTCACAAAGGCCTTTTTTAAAAAATTATTTTTATTACCATATAATGTATTCTTTGCCCCAGGGGTACAGGTCTGTGAATCATCAGTCTTACACAATGCATAGCACTCACCATAGCACATACCCTCCCCAATGTCCATCCTCCAGCCACCCTATCCCTATGACCACCACCACCCCACCCACAACCCTAAGTTTGTTTTGTGAGATTAAGAGTCTCTTATGGTTTGTCTCCCTCCCGATTCCATCTTGTTTCATTTTTTCCTTCCGTAACCCCCAGGACAGCCTGCCCTGCCTCTCAAATTCCTCATATCAGGGAGATCATATGATAATTGTCTTTCTCTGATTGACTTATTTCTCTCAGCATAATACCCTCTAGTTCCATCCATGTCATCGCAAATGGCAAGATTTCATTTCTTTTGAGAGCTGCATAGTATTCCATTGTATATATATACCACATCTTCTTTATCCATTCCTCTGTTGACGGACATCTAGGCTCTTTCCATAGTTTGGCTATTGTGGACATTGCTATAAACATTCAGGTGCACATGACAAGGGTCTTTTCTTAACACCCTCTGTCACTATTTATTTGATCCATCATTATAATTTAGTGTCCAACAGGTGCTAAGCACCATTCTAAAAACTAACAGTGTAGTGGTAAACCAGACAAAGTCTTGCTGTCATGGATCTTATATCTCCAGTGGGACAGTAAAATTATCAACAAGTAAATATATGTCAACAGTGATATGTTCTATCAGAGAATTAAGTAGGATTTGGGGGTAGAGTTACAGCATGGCTTTAGACTGAGAAATGAGGGCAGCCCTAACTGAAACCAGAATGAAAAAGGTGTGTTTTGAATCACAACTGAAGGGAGCAGCAGGCACACAACGATCAGCAGTAAGCGTGGTCTTGGCAGAAGGAGCAGCTGGTAAAAAGCTTTTAGAGTGGACATGCCTCCAAATCCTTTGTCTCTCTCTCTCTCTGATCCTCACCACACCACACCTCTATTTCAAGATCACAAATGACATTGTCTCGGATGCAATCAGTGATCCATTCTTAGTCTCCGCCCTACATGATCTCCTGGCAGTTGTGTCTTGGTGGATCACACCCTCTTCCCTTGGCTTCCTGGACCCTCCCCTCTCCCGAATTTCTTCCTGCTTCACTGACTGTTCTTGTCCCTGCTGTTGATTCTTTATGTCCCCTACCTCTGAATGAATTAGATGGTACCAGAACTCAATCTTTGACCTCTTCTCTATCAGCATTCCCTCCTCTTGAGATATCACTTGATTTCACTGGGATAATATCATCTTCCTGATTACTCACAGATTTGTTATCTCTACCCAGAAGCTCCTCAGACTTCACACTCATAAGTCCATCTGCCTACTTGACCTCTCTGCTTGGCTATCTAACAGGAATCTCCAACTTCATGGGCAGGAAGGAGAACTCCAGATATTCTCCCTGACACCTGCTCTTCTTGCCTCTTCTCCATCTTGGTGAATGGGAGTTTGACGTGTCCAGTGGCTAGAGCCAAAACCTTGGGATTATCCTTGTCTCCCCTCTTTCTCTCAACTTTGTATCTAATCTATCTGCAAAAATTGTCAGCTCTACTTTCACATTTGTCCAGACAGCTGCCATTTTTCACCTAAAATATGAGGTCTCTTGGTACCTCTCGGACTCCATCTTCCAGTCTTTTTTCTCCCTTCTGTTCCACTTGCAGTTCCTTCCTGCACACTGATGCCTTTGATGTTGCTGTTCCCTCTGCTTGGGATGAACACTCTCCCTGCTACTGGCATCACTCACCCCTCCCCTTCTCAGGTCTTCACGTGCATCGCTCGCATGCCCTTTCTCCCCAGCCAATCCTACGTAAAGCTGTAACCTCCAGGCCCCAAGACTTCTTGACAACTCCTATTCTTTAATTTCCTCCATAGCACTCAGGACACCTCACACACCACACATTTTACCTGTTCTGTTTGTTCCTCATATCCCTCCTCAGACGTCTCCTGAGAGCTGGAATTCCCCCCCTCCCAACTGCTTGGTACATAATACATGCTTCACACGTATTTCCTGAGTGAAAGTTGAAGAACTGAATAGAGTCCATCAGATTAAACTTCAGAGATGCCAGTGATGATTTTAGTAAGCACTTTTGGAGAAGCAGTAGAAACTTAATCATTTCCATTTAAAACGGAAACAGCAAACAATAATACATTTTAAAGCACATACGACAAGATAGTCTGTGGAAGAATTGCGGTTGAAAGAAGGCCTTGTTAGTGTGAGTTTGGTAGTGACTTGAGGAAATGAGGAGTCGGGAGAAAGGGAGAGTCAGGTGAAAGGGAGGCGGGGATGATTGTTAGAGGCAGCTTCCTGATGAGGCAGAGACGGATAGGATCCCCGATCATGAAGGAATAGACCTGGAATGTCTGAGCAGCACCAGGACCGGCTCCACAGATGTGGGTGAATGCGGTTGCACAGGGCCCTGGGCTCAGAGGAGATTTGCACTTGGTGTCATGCTCTACTGTTCCTGTCTTGAAGTTGTTTGTCCATGTTTTTTGAACAAGAGATGCTGCATTTCCACTTTGCACAGGGCTCCCATAAATTGTGTAGCTTACCTTTTCCATTGTAATAAGAGGAAGGGTAGTAGGAATAAGTACAGACCATGGGTTTTAAAGGTTTTTTGGCAGAAAGTCGGGGGAGCTTTTATCTGATGATAAACCTGAATGATATTTTTACCCCTGTGAAGTAGAAAGTCAGATCATCTCCTAAGAGCGATGGAGTTAGAAGTGTGAGGAAGTGGGAGAGAGTGTGATACACTATGGGAAGATCATTAAGGGCGTGGGGTATGGAACCACTTGGCAAGGTCAAAATTGTGTCTCTGTGCTTACTAGCTCTATGACTTGGAGCAAGTCACTTAACCTCTCTGTGCTTTGATGGGCCAGTCTATAAATGGAGATTGTAATAATACCTCGGGAGACTGCTTGGTATGTAATGCTTCTGGAGAGTCAGAGAGAAAGGTAACTAGGAGAATGTAGATTCCCCAAACGACGCATATGTCTTTTCTTCGTGTAGTGTCCTTATCTAGATTGAGGGGAAAGCATGTCTGAATCAAGGAGAAAATGATTAAGGTGCATAAAGGAAATCCCAACTGTTTCATTGCAGTATAATATGAAATATATTTCACTATATGCTATAAGTGAATGAGATTATTTATTTTATTTATTTATTTATTTTAGATGTACAAAAGAAAAATGAAGAAACAACACAAAGGCAATTGGAAAAGCCGAAGAAAGAAGAAAAATGAAGGCTCAAAAACTATCAAAAGTACTGAATTTCTGTACATTGAAAGACTTAGTGGCTCTGCATTCCTGAGATATTTGATCTGGTAGTAACTATGGTAACATTGTAGCCCTAAACAACATGTGTGTATTAGACAATTTTGTTGTGATGCTACTCACTTAGAATGCAACCATGATGTCCAGTGTGGGTTATTAAAAAGCATATTACTTCCAAATTGCACCCTAGGAAAAGGCTAAGAATGTATGGTCACTTAAATCCGTATCATTATCTATAAACCCAACAAAATCCACTGCTCTCTTTTGGATTTACTTAGCCAGATGTATTTTTAATTCCATTTTTATGGTAATGGATGACTTGTTTCTTAGTAAATATAAAGCAAACACCATTCATTTAAAAATTATTGGAATTTCTAAGACATTATGGTTTTTTGGTAGGAAGGAATAATGGTCAAAAACACAGAGAGTGTTTGTTTTGTAACCAGAAATACACCATTTTTCCCCAAACCCTAAAAGGATTTGGAAAAATTACAGAAGTTGGACAACCTAAATATCTCTAGGATGTTTTTGTTTGATGCTACATCAAACAAATCAAACAAATGCTTTGTTTTTGTTTCTAGTCTATTCATATTGTGATTTTTTTCATGTGGACTCTTAGAACACAAAATTAGTGACAAATTGTTTATATGGAACATAACTATTAAATGAATTTCACTATCTTCCTTAACTTGGGTGTATGTGTGTGCATATGTTTTTCTTTAATATTAATTATACAATACAAAACACGTTACTAATTGCTTTATACTGTCTTTTTTTAATTCTTAGGGCTTTTGTGTATTGTGACTTGTTTCTAAAATGATTTCCTCAGGAATGCAGACCTTCATTTTTATATCTTTCCTAAAGTAGCTAACATAATACCTAAATATTTAGTGAATGTTGTAGGTAGAAATAGCAAAATATCTGCTTTTAATATATATTTAAGCATATATTTTGAAAGGAACAAAAACAAAACCAAAGTTTTAGTAAATTTTGATTTATTAGACATTTTAGGAAATAATAAAATTCTGTATTTTTTAAAAATGGGCTAACAAATTTATTTTCATTTTCAGATATATATGCATGCTGTTATATTTTATTTGATTGTTGACTTAGGCCATGTCTGTATATAGTTATCAAATAAACTCTTCACTGTTCAAGAAACTTGTTACTGATACAAGTCTTCTTAATTTTATCTTCTCAGGTATACCAACTAAAAATTGGCAACACATTTAAAAGGAGGAAGTTAGTAAACTTTACAGTATGAATCACCTCCTCTGTATTATTTCATTGACAAAGTCTAACTTAATGTTTTATATACACCAGAGGGGTAGATTTTAAAGAACCCAATTGTTTTCTCAAATACAATTTTTTAATAGAAAAATCTAAATTAATATCTTCAGTGTAGCACTAAATTTTCAATAAAATATATTATAGCCATTAAAACTGTATTTCAGAGCATTATGGAATGACATGCTATTATGCAAACAGTATAAAGAGTATTAGAGTAGAACAATACTTTATAACTTGTGGGACAGTGACAATTTGGCCTTATAAAGGACATTTGGCAATATCTGGAGACATTTTTGACTGCCTCTGGGAGGGTGGGGGCCAGGGAGAGAAAGCGCTATTGCCATCTGGTGGGCAGAGACTAGAGATGGTGCTAAGCGGCCAAGCATCATTCAATCCTAGAGGGTAGACACTCCCCGCAAAGAATTATCTGACTATGTGTGTCCATAGTGCTGAGCTTGAGAAACCCTGGGGTAAACTGCTAAGCATGTGGATTTTTTTTTTATTAAGCATTAGTACTTCATTGTCTATGAATTGTTAGATCATTCCTCTTGTCCAAATGTTTAGTATTTATACAATATTTTCTTTATACAATAATTTATACAATAATTTCTTGATCTGTGTGAGGGAATTATACACATTGAATTCTTTATAAAAACATGATGGCCAGCATCAAATTGAATCTTCATAGCTCCCCTGTTTTCTTACATTTATAAAGGCTCATTTTCTGAAATAAGTATTGTTTCTGCCTCATTCTTTTTTTAAACTTTTTATTTAAATCCTGGTTAGTTAACATACAGTGTAGTATTAGTTTCCAGTGTACAATATAGTGATTCAACACTTCTATACAATACCCCGTACTCATCACAACAAGTGCCTCCTCCATACCCATGACCTATTTTACCCATCCCCCACCCACCATCCCTCTGGTAACATCAATTCGTTCTCTGAAGTTTAGAGCCTGTATCTCTCTTTTTTCCTTTTGCTCATTTGTTTTGTTTCACATGAGTGAAAAAATAAGGTATTTGTCTTTCTTTGACTTAGTTTGCTTAGCATAATACTCTCTAGCTCTAGCTCTATCCGTGTCATTGCAAATGGCAAGATTTCATTCTTTGTTATGGCTTAGTAATATTCCAACATATATATATATGTGTTTATGTGTATGTATGTGTGTATATATATATATATATATCCTTTCATCAGTCAGTGGACGCTTGGGCTATTTCCATAATGTGGCTATTATACATAATGCTTCTATAAATATTGGGGTGCATGTATCCTTTTGAATTAGTATTTTTGTATTCTTTGGGTAAATACCTAGTGGTGCAATTGCTGGGTCATGGGGTAGCTCTATTTTTAACTTTTTGAGGAACATCCATACTGTTTTCTACAGGGCTACACCAGCTTGCATTCCTACCAACAGTGCAAGAGGGTTCCCCTTTCTCAACATCCTCACCAACACCTGCTGTTTCTCTTACTGTTGATTTTAGCCATTCTGACCAGTATGAGCTGCTAGCTCATTGTAGTTTTGATTTGTATTTCCCTGATGATGAGTGATGCTGAGCATTTTTTCATGTCTGTTGGCCAACTGTATGTCTTCTTCGGAAAAACGTCTATACATTTTCAAGTCTCAGCTTTATCCTTTTAGAATGGTATTAAGAATAGCACATACATTGTAGGGTGAGTGGAAGTAGTAAATGAGATAATAAATGTAAGACACTTGGCAAATGCCAGGCAAAGAAAATTTATTCAATAAATATTGGCTAACATCATCATCATTTTTATTCCAGATGCTTTGCCATTGTTCTCTGGTAGAAGAGGTAGTGGGCAACTGAACTCGTTAATTTGGTTCTTTTGTGCCTTCCTGTGTGATTTCACAAACATCCCAGTTCTTGGTGCTAGGGGAAGACAATATAATGGAAATTGATGATTCATAGTAATTACCACATTAATGCCAATTCAGACACACTAACGAGCTGCTGACAGGTGATGAGTATTATCCTTTAACAATGAGTCACCTCACTAATGTTTTATGACAGTTACAGCAACCAAACAGAATTTTGAGTATTTAAATGAGTAACTTATTCCATGAAAATGTAGAAGGAAAAAAAATTAACAACTCTTGGGTCATAGTATTATATAGCATTTATTTCTCATTTAGAATTAGAAGACAAGAAATGAAGCCATGTCCTTCCTCATGATTGCTGGTAATGACACACATTCCAAATGTGTATCCTTAATCACTTATTCATCGCAATGCACACATACATGTCCCATTATATACATATTTGTAAGTATTTTGTGTTACAGAAGGTATCAGGCTTGTTGAGTATTTACTAATGAAAGGATTTATTGTTATTATTATTATTATTTGCTAAGATGGACTCCAGAAAAAGGAGAATGAGAGGTCTGTTGTAGTTTAAAGGCAAAACTGAATTTGCCTACCGACTTTTTGAAAAAAATCAAGTTCTTTTGGGAGAACCTTTGCTGTTTTGTCAAAGACAGTGTCAAAAGAACTATCTAGCTGAGGCTCACTAAAGAAAATCTCCAAGCCCATTTTTGCTGTTGTCTATTTATAAGCTACTTGCTTTAGTCAATAGCTGTAAAGTCTTCATTAATACTGTCAGATAAACCAGAACAGGAGGGAATGATAAAAGCTATAAAGTGGTTAGTTGGAAACTTGAAGTTTAGGTAGAGAAAGCAGAACAACAAGAACAAAAAAAAATTCTATTCCATGTGCTAAGAGATCTTTCTATGTTCTGGGCTGGAAAGGTTGGAAGTGTCTTAGAATGTGAGTGACTACACAGCACCGTGTCCTATTTGCAGAAGGATATGGTATGTTAGCTTCAGTTTTGCCAGCTCAGTTGGCTTCGGCCACTTTGAAGAGATGATGGTGATAGAGAGAGAGAGAGGGAGAGAGAGGGGGAGGAAGAGCTACCAAAGCACACTAGCCTATTGCCTTATCCAACACCTCAAATTCAAATTACAGTTTATTATTATTAATTATATTAATAGTAATATATTAATATTATTATTATTATTAAAATTACTGTTAATTTCCTGAGCATAAAGAGTGGCAGAAACTTTAAGGTGAATGTCTGTTCTATGTTATTTGCCAAAGTACATTTTCCTCCTATTCCTTTGTTCTCTTTTCTTTCCATGAGCAGCACCTCTTTAGCTAAAACCAGGATAGATTAATCACAATGGATCCCATTTTTTCCAGAGTTATTAATGATAATTCTTACTGGACATTGATAATCTGCAGGTATTTAAAAATGGAGGCATTGGCTCAAACAAAAGGCTGGGAAGATGTTGTTGCTCCCTGTTAAAATTCTAGGACAGATATCTTATTGAGCACATACCAATAGGAATAATGATAATAACAATTATTGTTATGTAGCCATTCTTTGAGTGATGCTTACTAAGTAGCCTAGAAGATTCTCTGAAGCTTCAGATAATGATCATATAAAACAGGCACTAATGTTACCCATTTTACAGATGAAGAAAATTGTTTCAGGAAATGCCTTTGGGGAATTCACACATTTAAGAAAGTAGCAACAGTGACCTGGGGTGAGGGTCTCAGAGCCAGGATGTGCCCCGCCCCTCTGGCACAAAAAAGCACACTGTTCAAACCATCTCATCTGCCAGTATTAAGTTGTTCTGAATTCCACTCAGGATTCCTAAAAAGTACAGAGGAATTGTATGTAGGTAGCATAGCACATCAGCCATCATGAGACATTTATGTCTTAGCAACAGGAATTTCGTTTGGCATTTATTCATTCATTCATTTATATTTTAACTTATTCCAGAAAAGATATGGCAAGTACAACTGCCGTTTAATTCATAGTAACCTGCCGGACTCTGAGGCACAGAAATTTGTGAGGAGCTTATGGCTCTTTTGGGTGGGAGGTAGCACCCAGGAAATGAGGCAGGGGCAAACAGGCTGCACTGAGTTCCTCAACCAGACTCACTTCATGTTTGTCCTGGGGCTGCCTCTGACCGGAAAACTCACACTGATAATCTGTGGGACTCCCCAAAACAATCCGTCATGAACTATCTTAATATCTTAATATTAACTATCAGGAATATCTGAAAGGCAGGGCTACACAGGCAAATGAAATGATTGCCTTTGTTCCACGCAGATCTATCTATTTGGGGATTGAATAATGTTTGACTGAGCAGAGGGAGAAGACCCTGAAGCACCAGGTGGGGATAGATTGGGTAGCCTTGGGGGACCATTCTCAGA